AACTGTCTAGGACCCCATTTGCGGAGCTTGCTTGAGAGCAAGCACTGAACGCCAGAGGTTCCATTTTTAGAGATAGTGGGCACGATGTCTGAGGGCGACCGGTTACTGCCAACGTCTTTGGTGGAAGGGCTGAGCGGGAAGTGGCTAAACCCCCTCCCCCTCGCGGCCCTTCCACCAGTGACGTAGGCCGTAACCGCCTGCCTCCAGCCATGGTGCCCTGCCTTCAGGGAGCGGTAGCTGAATGGAAGAGCCACTGGTGTGCTATGACTGGCGCGCTCCTTCTTCTGCTTCTTCTGAGACGGTCCAAAGGAGGGACAGAAAGGGAGGCACAACGGTCATGGGTCTCCGCCCACTCGAATAAGATGGAATACATACACGCTTTCACTCTTGCTAAGCCTATAGAATGGCTCGGGCCAACTAGACCTCGTAGCACCACACAACCGTCTAACTTTCCCTTTGCACCAATCAACCAAAACAAATGCGGAAGACAGTCAGTACGGAACGGACGGAACGGAAATCGCTAGATGTCTCAGCAGCAGTCGCTAGATGGCCTAAAGGCAGGGGGCACGATTGCTGAAGGCGGGCGGTTGTTGCCAGCGTCAGTGATAAAAGGGCTGCGAGAAGGCTCTTGGCCACACCCCATTCATCCCTTCCACCAATGAATTGACAGCAACCGCCCGCCTACAGCCATCGTGCCCACTGCCTCTTAAGTTATGCGAGAATCGGTCAATATGGAACGGACAACGCTAGATGACAGGGCTACCCCAATGCGCAAAATTCATTTTAATAATATGAAATAAATAATAAAATAATGCTGACCTCGACATAAACATGTAAACGGCGAAAGAGATTGGATGAAGAGTGACAAGAATGATGTTGGAAAGGCCCGAAGATACGGCGGATTCCACAACCCCACGAACCACCAAACCACCCCTTCCAACGTCGCCCCCCTCACACCAACCCCACCCACTCAGCAACCACCATCAGCAGCCGCGTATTCCGGTCAAATTCCAACTCCCGACCTTCCACCTCTCCGGTAGTAAAGGTCACCCCACTCCTATCCCATCGTTTATACGGATAGTTCACTTCAGACCACATGATCCAGCGACTGTCGAGTCGGAACCCTAGAATAATAAGAGTTATACGTGGGCTTGGCTAAAGCTGCGCGCTCGGCGCGACTCGCCCTGAATGCAACCATCGATCGAATCCCTCCCCAACACGCAAGGGCATCTCATTCGTGACCCCGATAACACGGTCGTGCGCTTCTTGACCAGGATGTATCTTTCTCCTTTGGTATTGGAGGGGAAGGCGTCGCCGAATCGGCAAAAGTGCTATCATGTCCCCCATCTCATGAGCGTTCCACGAGCATGCCTTTCAACGCCTGCCTATTATAAGAACTGGTGTAAAAACCAAACTGCGCAAAAAATATGAACGTTTTTCTTCTAATATTTGATCTCATAAAATCGAGCTATCGTCTCAATCTCAACTCGGACTTGGTGCAAGACAAATTATACGAAATTCGATCGCTCAACCAATGTTCTCTTGATGCTGACAAAAAGCGGGCGGGTCAGGTTCCACCGTCATGGAGTTCCAGCTGCCAAAAAAAGTGCTCAACAATATATTAAAAAAAAAAAAAAAAAAAAAAAAAAAAAAAAAAAAAAAAAAAAAAAAAAAAAAAAAAAAAAAAAAAAAAAAAAAAAAAAAAAAAAAAAAAAAAAAAAAAAAAAGAGAAAGAAAACAAAACAGATAGGGATCAAATAGATAAATAAAAAACCTGAGAAAAAAACAACTAAACTAATAATAGCCATCTGTGATGTCTGGTCTTAGAGTCACAGTGCCGAGCCAATACTTTTGAGCACGTTGACGCGCCCTCTCTTGATCCAACAAGGAAGTGGCACCAGATGCTATAACACAATATTCATGAGTCTCCCCCAATACCCATGTGAGAATACGAATTTTGAATTGGTGCGCATAACTTATAACCGTCCAACACCTCGCTCTTTAGCTTTTTGCAGAATAAGTAGCTTCTCCTGGCCTGCTCACCACAGGCTCACCATTTTCAGTAACAGGTTAAATTACGATAGAAGTACTAAGAAATATGAAGCGCACCGTACCTGGCGAGCAGGAAGAGTACTATAATGACAGTGAGCATCACAGTGGTGTTCCTGAACGCTGAACTGATCCGCTTGTGACGATTGACACTGAAATTGGAACAAATACTTGAAAAATTGTGAAAAATATAAAATAAATTAACGCGAACCTCAGCTTAGGTGCATCCGAAGTCTTAATTGTCCGTATGAGAAGAATCGTGATGGCGAACAGAAGAATCGACGGCACAACGATCAGTCCTATTCGGAAGCTGTCGAAAACCTGCAATTTGCTCGATAGATGGGTCCTACAACGATATGTATGGACAACTCGGGACAACTGTATACCGTACCCATGAGAATGTGTCTGGACCCATCGCTCGCGTCAACGGCGAATGACCGACAAAGCAGCGAGCCACCCAGAACGATGTCGATGGTCCCTGAAAAGAACGAAACGTTAAGCACCTTGACACGAGTCAAGTATTTGTGAGAAAAGCGAGAAATTCGCACTCTTTGGATGCACCGTGCTACCATTCTCATTCAAAGTCGGGTAAGGATTGAATGGTTAAATGTGTTTTACGCTGCGGCATAGCGAACTCTCCTCCCTAATAGGGCTATCCTGCTTGCAAGAATCACGAACGCGCTATGTGGACTGGGAGATTTGAGTTAGCGAGTGAGAAGTGCCGCACAAGTGATGTCGCGCGCGCGGCATTCGCACCAACATCTATCTGATTCTACGCGAAAGTGCTACAGTAAGCCAAGCTGCACCGCAAAGAAATTAGGTAGCTTATGCGCCTCCTAAGTAGGATCTGCAATGCCGTAGCTTTGACAGAGTGTGCCTCTCTGTTACTCAATCCCCTTTTTCACCATAATTAGCCCCTCCAATTCAAACTTATTCGAAAGTCAGGCAGGAAAAAGAAGGAAAGCTTTCCACTCTTCACAACCCAACTTTTCAAGTATGGATGGTAACTGGTAAGCCCACCCTCCGAAATATGAGGTCATAAGCGGAAAAAACCCTTTGAAAGTCATTTGAAAAATTATAAACATACCCGAATACAAAAATGATAGATGACCCGAATGTCGAACGTGGAATGAATGACAGTGAGAACAATGGCGAGGGTTAGAATAGCTTTGGAATATCGACGTATCAAACGACGTGAGCACCATCGTAGCGAATCCAATGGATACTGTACGGCGATGAATCTGCAATTGCGGACATTAGATGAGAATGTCGAGGAAAACGGGACAGTAAGGTTCAAGCAGAGGAGTAGGTGGACTAGAATGACGAACCCCATAGCCTCCCCTCCCGATCGGACAAAATGACTACCACGGTCGTAAATTCTAGGAAGTTCTACGCTGCTCACTCTTGCCAATTCCACTGGGTTATATTTATGTGAATAACCATCTTGAGTGTCATATATTGGCCCGAAAGGGACCCCATCACCACTCTCGGGGCAGACATCTGCAT